TCACACAACCCGTAAAACTTAACCACCAAACAAAATAAAAACATAAACAAAATTTAATATAAACACAAGCAGGAAAATTATTGTTAAAATATTTAATCTATTAATAAAATAAAAATATGTATAAGTTTTTTAAATTTGATGAGGAGGATTTATATCCTCCCTTTAAAATAGAGTTAACAAAATTGTTTACAGAAAAAGTGGGTCGATACTCTCCATCAATCACATTTTTAACACTTAATCAAAAAAAAAAGTTTGAAAAATATTGTAGAAGTAACACTATTCACAAATCTTACAAGTTAAATGTTAGCTATAAATTTATATATAATACTAGAAATAAATTTCCTTATTTAATTTATTTATCTAAATCAAAAGGTGAAGAAAATATAGAATCGATAAATAAGAGAAAAAAATTACACACTATTGTGTTTTCTGGTTCTCACTTTAATAAAATTTGTAAAGCAACAATTGAAAATAATTATAAATTTGAAGTAATATTATCTGATATAAAATTATATACAGATGAGAACATAATCCCACCAAAAAATTATTCAATTTCAATGCGCAATTTTAAATGGGATAATAGAACTAAAAAACAAGATGAAAAAATAGTTAATATTACTGATAAAGAAGATATTAAAAAAGCTATTAATAAAATACCTACTGATTTTATACCAGAAGAATTAATTCCTCCTTATACACAACAAACACCAACACCTCCTTTAAAAATCGAAAAAATAATATCCTCTAGTCCACCACCTACTCCAAAATCTAGTATAATTGATAATATTATATCCAATGAAGAAAATAAAAAGAAACTTGAAAAAAGTTTAAAAATTATTAAATCTTTAATCTAAATAATGATTAAGTTACTAATTTCTACACAAAAAATATTAATATAACCAATTAAATAAAAAATGACAACTTATATTGAATACGGAGTAAAACTTACAGATGGACAAAAGTCAAAACTGGCTTCTGCAATATTAAATAAATCACCACTAACTCTTCGGATAAAACATAACCATCTTCGAGGTTCTGATGAGTTAATGTTAACAAAAAGACAAATTTCTAAAATAAAAAAATCTATTGCAAATGGCACAGGATCAGATATAAAAATAAGTAAAACTCAAATTAGACGTTCTGTAAAACATGGTGGAAACTTATTTTCATCACTTGCTTCTATTGGAGCAAAAGTATTACCTTACGCAATAAAAGGAATTTCAAAAGTTGCTCCTGCATTAGCAACTGGTGCTGCTACTGCACTTGGAGAAATAGGATTAAATAAAATATTTGGAAAAGGAATCACAATTCCAAAAAAGTTTTTCCCAATGTTACCCGCTATTAGAGGAGAATTGACAAAATCACAAATTGATCTAATAAATAAGATGTTTCAATCTGGTGGACGAGTAGTTATCAAACCAACTCGTAAACAGATAGAAGGAAGATTTCTTGGAACTCTTGCATCTATTGGAATTCCAATGGCAATCAGTTTAGTATCTAAGATGTTTGGAGGGGGACTTCAAGTTGATAGACGTGGGTCATCTAATACAGCAAATGTTTACGTTCCTCATCCTCCTCAATCCACACATGGTGAGGGTTATCCTTATCACTTTCCACCACCTTTTTTAGGTAGTTGGGAAAACCCAATTGGAATGGGTCTTAAAAAAAAAAAGTCCAAATCCAGGGGAACAGGACTACTACTAGGAAAAAACAGCCCATTCAACTCAATTCCCATTCTAGGCTCCATTTTGTAATTAAACCTCTATCCAACTTTGACCTTATGAATTGGATAAAAAAACTTGGTATTAAACATTTTAGAGGAATATACAGTAGGGATAGACTACCAAAAAAGATTAGAAAAGAATGTGGAATAATTAATCTTGATGATATGACGGGACCTGGAACACATTGGGTTTGTTATAGAAATATAGACAATTTAGTTGAGTACTTCGATCCATTTGGACTAATAATGCCAAATGAAGCATTAGAGTATTTTAATACTTCTGGAAAACGTATAGTTTACTCAATGGATGAAATACAAAATCGCAATACTGTTCTCTGTGGTTATTGGTGTTTATACTATTTATTTGAGCGACAACGTGGAACTAGTATTTTAGATGTAATACATAACCCACATTTTGATGATGACAACAGTGATTTTATAAAAGCATACTTTGGAGGATAAGCATAATAAATAAATATAATATTTAATAAATATTATATTTTTATTCACTATTAACTGGTGTATCCTTTAGCTGTTTAACCTTTTCAACTTTTGTGTTTAAACTTTTAACACTATCAACTATGTCAATAAAATTTGAGTAAATATCAATAAGTCTATAAAGTTTCTTCTTTTTGTCATTATTTAACTTTAACCAAGAATATTGCTCATTTCTAATTTTATTCCACATCTCAGATTCACTAGCACTTAGTATTTTAGAAAGATTATCATTTTTATTTCTAAGTAACTCCAACTCATTATATATTTTTGTTCGCACTTCTTTTTCAAACTCTTTAATTGTTTTAACATCCATCTTTTTTTCTATCTCGGAAAAGAATTTAGTCTCCATTTATTATATAAATAGATAATTGTTCTTGCTTACTTGCTGGTGTAAAAATTTTTATTTTTAATTAATTTATGTCTTGGAATATTTAATTTTCTTAGAATTTTTTTTCCTTCTGGGATAATATCTTTGGGGTGAAGCTCTTTTTCTGCTACAAGTTGTATCTCTCTAAATTTTTCCTGATTAATAAAAGTATCATATAATTCACTAGTGGTTTTGTATCTATACATGATATCTGTTTTTTTTAGGTCACCAAGTATATAATTAAAATAAGCAAAGTTGTCATCAAAATAATAAATAAAATATTTGACTTTTGTTGTCATTTTATTTATGATTTATATAAATAGATAATTGTTCTTTACAACATTTTTAAGAGTATTTGATTTTTCACTTATTTCCATAAGCAACTCAAATATTTTTATAAATTTAGTATCATTTTCCAATCTAGAAAAATCAGCGTATTCATAACTCATGTTTAAGTTATCATATATCTTTTGAAGTTCACTTTTTAAAAAATTAGATCTAATAGACATATTTTTATCTAAACAATATATTAAATGAAAGAAACTTATTGTATTGTAGATAAAAGAGTAACTCCTTGTACAGAACCAAGTGGTTACCAACAAGATAAAAGAGGTAGAACTCAATTCTTTTGTAAATGCGCAGTTTGTGGAAATAAAAAAGTTAGATATGTAAAAATGGGAAATACCCCCATGCAAACTGGAAGTGGAAAAAGAAAAACTAAAAAAAAGTCAAAAAACTAAAAAGCCCGTCTGAAGGGGCGGGCGTTTTTGATACTGTTGTTGGTACAGCAGTTGATGGATTTGTTCATTATGGTTTACCTTGGCTGGGTAAAAAAACAGTTGAAATGGGTAAATATGGAGCAAGTGAGTTAATGAGAAATAAAAACGTTCAAAAAAAAGCTGTAAATTATGGAATAAATAAAATCACCCCATTTATTCAAGATTCTGTTGGAACAGCAATGGATCAACTGTCAACAAAAGTTAGACCAAATAAAAAGTATAAAACTGATAGAAAGGATTTAGACGGTCGATCAGGAAGAGGTTTTGATATTCATAAAGTAATTGGAAAACTTCCAAAACCAAAAGCAGGATGGACTCCAGGTTCATACAAATATATGGGACCGTACAATCCTCTTGATAAACAATTAAGCTATGATCCTGAAACTGGAAAGGTAATAGAATGGAAAGTTAAACCGTATAACAAAGTTGATGAAATAGCAGCTTATCACGACATTTGTTATGACATGGGAAAAAACAAAGGTGATTGTGATAAAGAAATGGTCAAATCATTAGATAATATTCCATATGGTGAAATGCCAAAGTGGGGGTCAACTGCTAGATTCTTGATTAATACTAAACAAAAACTTGGGCTTGGTTTAAACACGCATCGGCGTTGAGTAATGATTGGTCTCAACAATTAGCCGAAGAACTTCACAAACCAATCACACGAAACTTTCAAAAGAGAACAGTAATATCAAATGGTATTGATGATATCTGGGCTGCTGATTTAGTTGAAATGCAAAAATTTAGTAAGTGGAATAAAGGAATTAAATATCTCTTGATGGTTATTGATGTATTTAGCAAGTATGGATGGATTAGAGCTTTGAAAGATAAAAAAACTGAAACTGTTAGTAAAGCATTTGATGACATATTTAAAAGTAAACGTAAACCTAAAATGTTATGGACTGATAAAGGTTCTGAATTTATAAGCAAACATTTTAAAGATTTTCTTAAAAGTAAAGGAATTAAACTGTATCACACTGAAAACGAGGAAAAATCTAGTGTTGTTGAGAGATGGAATAAAACAATGAAAAACAGAATGTGGAAAATGTTTACTGTAAATAACAACAATGTTTACTGGGACAAGATAGATAAACTAGTTGATGATTACAATAATACGAAACATTCTAGTATAAAACTCACCCCTGTTGAAGCAAGTAAAAAGAAAAATGAAAAAAAAGTTTGGTATAATTTGTATGACGATCTAATATACTTAAAACCTAGCAAGCCAAAGTTTTCAATTGGTGATCGTGTTAGAATCTCAAAATATAAGAGGCAAGTATTTGATAAAGGTTACACACCAAACTGTACAGAAGAAATATTTGTAATTGATAAAATTCTTCCAACAAAACCTGTTACATATAATATTGTTGATACGATGGGAGAAGAGATTAAGGGTTCTTTTTACGAGCAAGAATTACAAAAAGCAAAACAACAAACATTTAGAATAGAAAAGATTATTAGACGAGATAATAAGAAAAAAATGGCATTAGTAAAATGGAGTGGATATCCTGATAAATTTAACTCATGGGTAAGTAATAAGGATTTGGTTGATTTTTAATACAAATTTTGTATTAAAAAAATAGTTATTTTACTCATTTTCTTCTTTATCAGATAAAATTAAATCTTCAACTAATTGATCAATTGTCTCTTCAGTATCACTTTCAATGTCACTATTTTTTTCATTAATTTTGAGTAAACTTTTTCTTGGTTCTAAATCTTTAACATAACACTCATGTACTTTTATTTGTAAAGATGTAACAGTCTTACTTATAAAAATTCCTTCAACTATTAATGCTAATTTAACTCTACAGTATTGGTTAATATATTTAAAAGGATTTAAATCACGACCTTTTTTTCCCTTGAACAAAGATAAAATTTTTTTTGTTTTTTCTGAGTAAATAAGTTTTGTATAAAGAATTGGTGATGATGATTCATCAACTTTTGTTCTCTTTTTTCCTTTTTTGTCTGTATATTCTATTTGTTTATAGTAAAATGGTGAAGATAAAGATGAGGCTTGATCTGGCCCGTATTCATTCTCTAAATGTTGCTGAGATAAAGTTTTTAAAATATTAATAAAATTAAAAAATGCTTTTTCTTTATTGTCAGGTTCACTATCTTTAGACCAAAGACATACTGGAATACTATAACCAACCAATTTACCTGTTTCTTGATTTTTCTTTTCACTAACACCAAAACTAAAAAGAAATGGAGTTTCAACTACAAGTGGTCCTTTTTTGTTATTTGGATATTTTACTTCAATTGGAATACGTTTGTATTTAATCTTGCTATCTTTTACTTTGTACTCTTTGGGTTCATTAAAGATAATATTCTCTTGGGTAATATTTTCGTAACTTGACAACTGCATTTTATTAATATTTTATTTAATCTTTAAATAAATATTAATTTTATTTTTTTATTCTAAAAATTCAAATCTGTATTTATTCCCATCTTTTTTGGAAGTAGCTGTTTTACAATAATTTATTTTTTTACAAATATTAGAAATACTTGAACGAACTATTTCTAACTCAATCGATGCTGCTTTACTACTTAAAAATATTTTTTTCTTATTTGTTTCAATATTAATCGAAACAATTGGCTTATTTTTACTTTTCTCAACATTTTGTTGATGTGTTAACAATTGTAAATTAATAATTCTATTATCTGTTTTTACTTCATTTTTACGATCAATTTCAAATCCCTCAGGAATAACTCCCTTAATTGCTTCAAACACAAACCTATGTTGAAAATAAGTTTTTCTTCTTTTTTTATGTCTAAAATCAAACCTGTAATACCCCGCATGATTTTTACACATTTTCATAATTCTTCCAGTTTTAACATTTATAACTTCTCCTTCCTTGGAAGCTGCATAATTAGTAAACACAGGATGAATATAATATTTCTTATCACCAATTAAAACTATTTGTTTTGTCATTTTATTTTTTTTATTAAAATTTTTAAGCCTATTTTCATTTTTTTTGTCTATCTCCATCCCAAAGAAACCTCGTTGACCAGTAATTACTAGATTCAGGATTAGTATAAGTTAACTCACCCTTTTTATTTTTTATCTTTGTAGCTCTAGAAAGATATTTATCTCTTCGCTCTTTATCTTTATGAACAGTATAATCTTCATATTTAGGTGATCCAAAATGTACTTTCTTTCCACCTGGAAGTTTAACCATGTATTTGTTATTTTTACGAGATGAATAATCAAGTGATTCAGCACCAAGATTTTTAGCATTTTTGATTAATTTTTTAAACTCTGCTCCTGTAAGAACATATTTTTCTTGAATAAAATCATCAGCTATAAAATCTGTATCCTCTTTTGTAGAAGTAGTTTCGATTTCATCCATTTTTTTATTTAATAGTTATACTATTTCTAGATTATATAATACATAATTCTTTACCTGTTTATAAAAATTTTTAATATCTTTTTCAAGCTCAATTCTATTAAAATCTTTTGAATATAACACTTCATAAAATTCATCACTATTATATATTTCAGGTTTAACCAATTTAATTTTTTTAAGAATATTTTTAGTATCTTTTACAACTTTATCTTGATATTTTTCATCACTTGTAATAAAAGGATCTCCTCTATCTATTTCATCTAAAAACTTAATTTCATAACGCTCTGTATCTTTCATAGGAATGGTAACATTAATAGTTTTACCATTTTCATCAATTCCATGATAAGTTGGTTCTTCAGGTTTACGACAAACATATTGATGTTCTTTATTAACAAAAATAGCATTACGTCCATTAACTTTTTTTATATATTTATGATGATCAAAAAATAAATAACCAAATCTTTTTTTCATATAACGTAATTTTAATAAGTCATCATCAATAAATTTATTTAGATCTTCATAATCACTAAAACAATTACCTTTTTCTATCATTTTCATCAACCAATCAAATTCATCTCTACAATAACAATACATTTTATTAGTTAGATAGATTATTTTTTAGATTTATGATATTCTTCCAAAGTAGGATATTCACTTGATATTGGATCCAATCTTATTACGTTATTACATACTTTTAAAACATATTCTTCTTTCAAATATAATCTTTCTTTAGGAAGTAATGATTTAAATTTTCTATAATCATCTTCAAATCTAAAGTAAATTTTAGAAAGTAATAATTCTAAATATTTAAAATTTTTTTCATAAGAATCTACTATTTTTTTATCATTTTCTTTATTATTAAAAATACCATGACAACATCTAATAAAAGATTTGTAATAATTAAATGATGATTTAACTTCAAAAATATTATATAAACTTTCAATAGAAAAAATGAAATGATCAAGATCTTCTAATTCTCCATCTTCTATTTTTTTAAAAAAATCTTTTATAAGTTCGGAAAGAATATTAAATCTTTTAATATAATTATCATAATCAACAGAACGACTACATTTAAGAAATAAATCTTTTCTATCCCAAATATCACAAACAATAAATTCAAAATGTTTATTAATAATTTCTAAATATTTAAAAATTGATATATATTCGCTACAACAATATTGTTCCATTTTTTTTATTTATTTTTATTTCTTTAAATAAAAATTAATTTTATAACAAAAAAAATGTTATAAAATAAATATTTTTTTACTTATTCACTATCACTATCACAATATTCTATTACATTAATTTTATTAAAAAAACAACAACCAACTTTGAAATCATTTTTAAATCTTGTGCCTTCATAAATTAATAAACTTGTTGCATTCATAAATATTGCATCCAATTCATCACCTGCATCATAATAAGTTTCTTTTACATTAATTTTTTTAACATTATTAAAAACATCTTTTAAATCAATTATTCCATCATTAACTGATTTAACTGTTTGATAAATATTTTTATCAATATTTTTAAATATAATATAATCTTCTTCACTATCAAATATTAATCCTCGAATTTTAAAATTATTATTTATTTGTTTACTTTTTGATTTGTAACCCATTGTTATTTTATTTATTTATTTTATTTCTTTAAATCAATTTTTATTTTCTGATTCAATATAATCTATCTATCTATTTTTAATTTATTTTATTTAAGTGTAGTATAGTAAATGCTGACAGCTGCCTCACTCCAAATTATTTCTGACTCTTCGAGCAATCAGAGAAACTAATTGTGAATCGAATGGAGCATTTCGAATGAGTTGAGTGAAAATGAACGAGCGATAGCGAGTGAATTGAACGAAACGAATGAGATTTGCGAAATGAGTGAACAATTAGTTTCGATGTTGCGAGATGAGGCAGAAATAATTTGAAGTGAGGCAGATGGCAGCATTTACTATACTACTAGCGCTCTAGAAGTTATTAAATTGTCATTATTATTATAGGAAGCCAAGTGTTATTTTTGTTGAATAATAAAAGACAAATGAGAGAATAAATATCAAACCAGAAATTGCTCTCTTCAAACTGTAAATTATAAATTATCCGGAGAGAATATTCAGTGTGTTAAGGATTTCCCAGCTGTACTGTTAGCTCTATGCAAGAGAGGAAGGGCGATTCTTTTTTTAATTTTCGTTTCGCTGACACAGCTTTAGCAGAAATCTCTCGTTTTCGTCAACAAAACGAATAGCAATATCGCTCTTCGCGTCTTCCGCCATTTTTTTCTGCCTCAATTCGTGAAGGACGCATGGCTCTGAGCGTGGGTCATCCACGCGGAACACATTCGCGCTATGTGAATGGCTGTTGTCCAATCCCCCTTGGGATCTGTGGTCTGAAAAATAACTCGAGACGAATTACCTATGGAATAGGGTGTGTACGGAGGATGCCTTCTCTGTCCCCTTTATCCTCTCTTGCCTGGAAGCAAATAACTTTGGCCCTCATCTCCGCCAGTAAAGTTTATGTTTTTTTATCATAATATCTCCAGTTGTGTTTTGAACAATGGTCACGCGTCGGAACCCTTCTTACTTGAAAGAGGTGTTTGACAGGGGTGCCCACTATCGGGCACATTGTTTGTTATAGCCATTGAGGTCCTTGAGCAAAATATGAGACGCTCCAAAATGATCAAAGGAATCTCAGGAAATAAAATTATCTCAGTATGCGGATGACACGACAGCGCTCTTGAGTGATAGTGAGTCCGTCATGCAGCTATTTGAATTGCAAGGCCTTTTTGAAAGATGTTCTGGCCTTAAAATAAACGAATCAAAATCGGAACTGCATATTATGGATTGGTTCATGAAGCCATAAAAAAGAGAAAATTTTAAATTTACAAATTAGTGAGGAGCCTGTCTACGCGCTTGGTGTTCATTTTGCGTACGAACGTGACACGGTTCTACAGAGGAACTTCTGGGAAAAGTTAATTTCCTTAAAAAAAACTGTTAAACATATGGTCTCAAAGGGATATTTCTGTTTACGGCAAAATAAATCTAGTGAAATCCCTCGCGCTCTCCAAACTGGTATTTATCTGCAGTGTAATGGAAACTCCAAAACTTTTTGTTGATAAAGTAAACAAAATAGTATTAGATTTTATTTGGGGCCACAAGCCACCCAAGATAAAATACACTACGCTCATCCAAACAAGGCAAGAGGGAGGCTTAGAGATGAAAGACTTTGCTTTATTTAACAAGGATTTAAAGTTAAACTGGGTTAAGCGGCTTTGCTCAAACTCAGACGCTCCGTGGCAGTACATCCCGAAGTCCCTCCTAGCGAATGTTGGGGGCCCAGAGCTTTTCAAATGTAACTATGAAATCGGTCACCTTAATCTGAGCAAATGCCTTCCAGCTTTTTATCACGAAATAATCACATTTTGGCAAGACGTAATAGCTTCCAACCCAAAAAGCAAAAATGATGTTCTTGAACAGATAGTTTGGATTAATAAGTTCATTAAGTCTGATAAAAAATCTATGTACTTGCAGCATTGGCGTTACGCATAGGAATTCTCAAAATTAACGACCTCTTCGATACACAGCAAAACTGCTTTCCGTCCTTCGACTCTTTTCGTAATAAATTTAACGTAAGATGTAATTTCTTACAGTATTTTAGCCTGGTTAACGCCACCCCTCAAAGTTGGAAAAAACTCCTTAATTGCTCCCTCGAACAAAGCTCAACACCGCAAATATTAATAGAGGAAATGACTTGCAAAATTTATACTAAACTGCTGTCTCTTCGATCAAAGCCTCCGCCGACTTGTGAGAAAAGACTCTTAAATTTTGGCTACCAGAAGGATGATCTGAGAAAATTATGTCTATTGCCTTTTGAAGTAACAAAACAAGTAAAGCTATCAATGTTCCAGTACAAAATTATTCACAATATTCTATGCACTAAGAGCTTATTATTTAAAATGAAGAAAGAAGACTCCCCACGCTGCCCTTTTTGTCCAGCAGATCACACCATCATTCATCTTTCAC